CGTGGGGGCGTGCGGAGAGAAGCTGTGCCCGGCTCCGCACCCTGCGGCTGCGCTGAGGAGGTGGCAGGTCTGTCCGCAGGCTGGCGAGCTTTAGCTTTTCTTATGTTGTTTTTTTTTTAGCGTAGGCTTGTAAGTGGAACTGCAGCGATGTCTGACGTGGGAGGGGTGGTTGGTAAACGGTTGAAGTGGGGCGCAGAGATGGGAGCAGCATGGTTTTGTCTGCAGTACGGATGTCTCTGCTTGTTATCTCTGGGAGGCTGGAGCCAGTGACGAGGCTGGAGCCGGCGATGGTAATTTCCCAAGTGTGAGAGAGTTCACTGCTGTGAGAACTAAATAGTTGTTAAGCTTAAGAGGTTGAGTCTGGTCACATTTCCAGGCCTCGGGATTGTTACAAATATGCAAACTGACTTCTCAGGCTTCTCTGGGCTTAAGTCTCGCTAATTAAAACAGAAGCAGTTGCTGTGAGCAGTGTACAGATGTGCCGTTTTAAACAACCTAATTTGCGTATAACTTCTTGGATAAATGCTTTAAGCCAAAAGGGTGAAGATGGTATGGGGTGTGTTTACTGTAACTTCTAAAAATTTGATGGTGTTTTCCTTAAAACCTAGTTCCTAAGTGGTGTCTGGAAACGTTGCAGATAAAGGTGGTCCTCTGTGCTTTAAATGCCTTTCTCTAGTTGCGGTTTTATCTGTAAAGCACAGTTAAAGTACATGTGTGATTTACATGTATCTTCAAACGTTGTCTTAATTTATATTTAATCAATCAAGGTGTTTATTGATTTCTGTTACTTAAGGGTAATGAAGGTGTGTGTGTTCCTCGCTGAACAGAGTTGTCCAGTTTATCTTTCTTCTTTCATTGATCACACGATGCTTGTCCTGTTTTGCAGATAAAACCCAGAAATTTGCACAGCACTTGAGATATGTTGCTGTTGTTCAGAGGATAAAAATGTGCAAATAAGACCACCATTAACACTTGCAGTTGATGTCTTGGAACATGCACAAAAGGCATTTGTATTCTCTGAGAGTTGGAACAAATTGAGCCAAATGATGTCATTATTCCAGTAAAATCTTTCTCAGTTGGTGGAAGTATGCATTTGGCTGCTCTAAATTCTTTTAAAATTTAAATTTTAATTTTCATGTGCTTCTTGGTGTAGAGATGTAATTCTGAGGTGTTTTGACTGTCAGGACTAGAGAGCATCACATACATATAGAATGTGAAAGAAAACCGAGCATGTGTATTGTAGGAGGGAGAATAAAAAGGACAGGGTGGTGCAGGAATGAAAAAGAAGTGGCTTGGGAGTACCAGGAAGTCGATGTGTCAGTGTTGCATGTATTTTCTAGTAAACCAGGTATACCTAATCCTCCTGCTTTTTCAAGCAGACCAAGACATCATACTTGCTGTGTTTGAAAGATTGCATCCTGCATATTCTCTTAATTTTATAGACCGCTCATTATGTGTTATTTTACACTTCTATGTAGTTTGCTTGCTTTACATGTTAAAGTTGTTTGTGTTCCCCATCTGATAGAGTGAACTCTTACTTGAAATTATTTAATTTTTATTTATGTAAGAATAGGTAACTTTATACATATGGTGTCTGCCATGGATTATATTCTAGATCCTAATTATATACAATAGTAGAAGGGCTGAGTGATGTTAATGCACATGGTATCGATTGCTCTTCCCCTTTCAAACTTGTAAAGAATAGTTTGATGGGTTGGGAGGCATTTGGTCCTTTCATCCCTATCTTCCATCTAGTCCTGATGTATGCTTTACAGTCAGAGGGTTTGCTTTAATTAAGTTAAATGTAGAAGATCGATGGTTGTCTGCTGCAGTGCTACAGGGCAATGAGAGTGGTTTCATCAAGGTAACCCCTGTTTCAGGAGGCAATTCTCTAGTGGTTATAAAATGAATTTGAAAGTTTCTCAGGTACTATTAATTGACTTAAAAGTGTAACTGTGATTTTTAGCGGTACCTAGGGATGCAGGGCACTTTTTTTCTCTCACCTGGAAAGTTTTAGCTGTGAATTACTTTGTCCCTAGAGATTCATGTGGAGATGAAAATCAAATCTGTGAATGATCATTGTGACATGGCCGAATTTGGCCATTTCAGGTCTATAGTTTATTTTTTTTTCTTAAACCACCATTTCAAGGGCCTGGAACTCTCACCTTCTCGTATATGCCATTGCTAATGAATGTAACGGCCAGGAGCAAATGTCCTGCTCGCTGGGTTTCAGTGTAAGATACCCTACTTCATCAAACGGCCTGAATGTTAAAACTTTTCCCCATGTAAAAGTGGCAAAGTTCGTCCCCCCCCCCCGTTAATGAGCAGTTCTGCTGGTAGAATTAAAACGCAGCTGTGTTTTGTTAGACTTCAGGTACACCCTCACCTAGTTTGCTTTGTTTTGCCATACCAAAATGAGCCATACAGCTACAAGAGTTGTTACCAGTATGACCAAGCCCCATCTCGGTGAACTTCAGTTTCTAAAAGGGTCAGGACAGTTTCAACAGTGATGTGTAGCCAAGGGCTGACAGACTGACAAGATCATCTCCTTGAAACACAGATGCCCTTATCATGTATATTCTGAGCTTAGGCAACAAGCTTGAAAAATTTGTCCTGCTTCTTCATGAGCATCCAATAATTTTGGACCCGAGATTCTACTTCTACTTCAAAATGTGTAAACAACTAAATTGTTGTTGTTATTTTTTAACCCATTCTGCATCACCAAATACCTCTGCAATAGGCTGGCTCAAAAGCATAATGAAGAGGCTCACCTGTGTCTGTTGGGGCTTAAGAATGAACTCTGAAAACTTTTAGAACGGAGTTGTGTGTTGGGATGTACAGCAGTCCTTGAGGTTGAGAACAGGAGGCTCGTGGCTGCAAATTTGTAACCTTGGTATGATATAATGGTGGTCTAGCAGAGGTTTAGCTTGTATTTTAGTATATATCAATTGTGTATTATTCATACGAATAAATAGGTGATGGATCTGGACTCCTGCTTAGCCCTGGTGTTTACTAGATGTATTGGTGAGCCTGGTTTTGGATGATGGTTTTACCTGCAGTAGTAGTTATTCAAACCAAGGCACAGACGTTATGACAAACCTCGCCTGTGTTTTGTTTCATCTTTATAGCAGATTTGACTGTGATCTTGTAAAGCATTTTTCTTTGGCGGTATTGCTTGATTTGCAAGTGGGCTGGATAGATTAACCTTAAACTTGAACTATGTTTAGTGATTGTCATTTGTTTAAAAAAATATGTAAAACTTAGTTTTCTTGTTTGTGTTTTTAAATAGTCAGCTGGGAGCAGGCAGTCGGTCTTGTGTGAAGTGACATGCTTCTGCTTGTATCAGCTTACATGAAAACTTCACCTTTCTTAAAACACAGAAGTACTTTCTTTTTTTTGTCCATCTGTTGATCTTTATTGTCTCTCTGTATATTCTTTGCTGTATATTCTTTTATTCTGACTAGAACTTCTAAGCTTTAAACTTTTCGTAGGTAAGAAAGAGCCAGACTAGACATGAGAGTATGTTTTGCATTTTTGGGGTGTTTTTTTGGTGGTGGTTGTTTTTTTGGTGTTTTGGTTTTTTGTTTTTGTTTTTTTCAATTTGGTCAACAGTGTAGCTGAGGTAACTACAAAGAGCAGTGTGGGGAAGTATATCAGACATAATGTTACAGAATGGTGGTGTCTAAATTTACATTTGATATTTTAAAGTACGTATTTATACTGCTGTTTTCAATTTGTAGCATGTTTGCATCTGAAAAATTAATCTAAAAGTCAACTGGAGGAACTGAGGAAGAATCTATTGAGATTTGGTCTAACTGGTACAGGTGGTGTATGGGTTTTAATCACACTTGCTGTATGGGCTTTCACTTAATGGCAGCTTGTCCCCAGCAAGTTTGTTTGAAGTCAAAGCCCTATGGCTTCTGCTGTTTGAGAATTAGTCTTTAAGAATGAATGTGTATTTTTGTTCTGATATGAAAAGTCTCCAACTCGTGCTCTTGTTTGAGTGTGTCAGTTTGAGGCTAATGAAAACAAGGAAAAAGTTGAGCATTTTAGAAATACCTTGTCTGAGGGTGTAGTCTGATAAACTTTTCTTTTGACAGCAGCAGTTTAAACTGCTCCTGCTGTTTGTGTCCATTCCCATGCTGTCATCTTTGGTTTGTGTTGGTAAAATATTTTGTGGGCCTGCGTAATAACCAGAGTTATGAATTTCTGGATTAAAAATAACTCCCGGAAGAGATTGTATTATTTCTGATGTTGATCAGTACCCTTGTTGGGTGACTGCCCAGCTTTGAAAACACTGTGCTACCTCAGTTGAGGAAGAAAGGGGAAGGAGGGTAGTGGTGACCTTGCTCTGCTTAAACAGGTGCTGCTGCAAGATATGCTTATTAACCAGCTACTTCTACGTTTACTTTGCAGTTTAAATTTCTAGTACTGCAGTACAACACTTGCTTAACAGACCCCTAAAACCCCAGTTCTGTATGTTTTCTTCACTCTCACTAGAATGTCTTTATTTCTGTTGCAAAATGTTACATTTGAGTTTCATGCTTTAATTAAGACTGGATGTGAGTATAATTCTGCAGTAGTTTGAGAGTCCCTGTGTTACCATTGCTTTTTTAGACTACTGGTATGTATACGTGTTCGTGTTAATACTGAGAAGTCCTATTCTGAATGAGACACCCGGTTCTAGGTTTTGAAGTAACATAGAACAAAAAGACAAATTATTCTCAATCTAAAATAAGCAGCAGAGGAATTAGAGATTTGGATGGGCAAAGGAACAATGAGGCAGTCCTGCTTGGCATTAAGGGCTTCTTATGCTAGCTCCTTGTGTTCTTTTTACAGTAGACGTCATGGGAAGAAGAATTTTTGGAGGAGACAAATAAGTGCATTTTGCAGGTGTTACAGGGAACTCTTCAAGCCTAGGGATGGTCTTGGAGAAAGCACCAAGGTGCCCCTTTGAAAGTCAAATACAAATGCTTTTCTTTCTTTGTATAAAAACATCTGACTACTTGAAACAATCTTGTAACATCTCAATGAAAACAGGCCTTGTTAATGTGGTGAGTTTCTGTTTGAGCTTTTTGTTGCAGTGAGTGAAATTATTTCTGCTTCCTTCTGACAGACCGAAGAGAACACTGTACAGTAAGAAGTATGGAGTGGACCTCATCAGATACACACATGCTGCCAACACTGTTGTGTACAGCTCCAACAAAATAGATGGTAAGTGATCCACTGGAGTTGAGCGCATTTAATCTCCTTACACTTAAAACTGCATGCCTGGATAAATAGCTGTAAAGAGCTGGGAAAAAATCACTGAAAAGTTGCTCTAGTAAACGGGCTGAAAAAATGCTCAGAGACAGAGGAATTAATGTTCAACTCTAAAGCACAGCTCGGTGATATTCCCTCGAGCATGCTGACATGAGTTTTGTTTGTTGCTGCAATAACTAAGGGAGTAAACATTGTTAGTGTGATAAAAGTTCGGTTTTTGATTCTGCTGTTCACTTTGTTGTTTGATACCAGTGCCATCAGCCTCTGTGTCTTAATTTCTTATGTGTGAAATGAGGTAGAAGGAGCACGTGGCTAAATGCTGTAGCTCTGTCTGATACACGCACAAGTCAACTGCAAAGGAAGGGAATGTTTTTTTTCATTCTCCATACGCAGCAGGGAGGGCAGGAAGTTCAGATAACTCAGCAGATCACCAGCCAAGCCTGGAGAAGGTCACAGAGCTCTTCTGAGACTAGCTTTGCTTCTGTTCATCTGTTTTTCCCATGTAATAGACAAAACCCCATTTTCATGCCATTTCTCCACAGTCAGTATCTGCGATAGCTACACTCTGTAAATCGGCTTCTAGAGCTTCGTGACAGGCTCTCTATTAATGTATTTGAGTTTAATTTAAAACTCAAATTTAAGAACTGGCACAGATAGGTACAGTAATTCTTCTATCAGGCAATGCTTCCTAAGGTTGGAAACAGCTAGTGTTAATTTCAAATTTTGTCTCAATTTTGTTTGTTGTAGGCAGTGTCTGAGAGTTTTTCAGTGAACGAGACTCCTAGCACAACACTTTATAAATGGGTTTTGACATTGTATTTGTAAACTCATAATAATTTCTGGAATAGTGGTTTTGTTTTGGTTTTTCCTTTGCAGAGATGGAGCTTGACAGTAGAGATACTGGTGCCTTGCGGTGTGTGCTAGGTTACTTAAGGAATTTAAGAGAGTATGAATTTAAAGCAGATGGAAGTTAAGATTTAGGAAGCCAGCTTAAACTAGAACAAGCTGGGCCTGAAACTAAAGAAACAAGGAAGTTTCCAACAGAATTGGATTTAATGGTGTAAAAGGCTTAAAAGTGTGATAGGAAGCGCTTGCCTTTTTAGTCTGTTTCGCAGCCTACTTTTTTTTTAATTAAGTTATTACTTTGTTATGTCACATTTCTGACTTGGCTGTTCTTTAATTTACAATTAATTAACAAGTAACAATTTAATTAGCCATTTTTAATGCCATTTTGAGTTGTGAGTTTTTCTTTATAAGCACTGGTAAGCCTTTGAGAAACCAAAACTTAGTCTTCATCCTGCAGGGTAGCCTTATGATAAATACTTAATAAGAAGAAAAGAAAAAGATAGAATGTGAAAGTATTTGTTGCTGTTATGAACCGTAAGCCTAATAAAACCAGCAATGTGTTCTGTAGGGGTCCACATACTCTGTAGTCCCTAATGCATGCAGCTAAAGGTGCATTGTATTTAACCTGTTAATGCAGTTATTGGGAGGGAAAAGTACCACAGGAATGTGTTACAGGAGGGCTGGCGCTTGCTCCCAAGCATTTTGTGTGTTGGAGTTGCTACCGATCCACTTACTTCTGAAGATTTCCTCAAGACCTTTGAACCTCGTTCCTCTTGCCTGATTCCAGGCTGAGGTAGTAGTTTGTACAGTTTGAGGGTCTATGATACCACCCGGTACAGGAGATAACTGTACAGGCCACTGCCTTGCCTGGGACAGAGCGCTGCCAACAAAAAGGATCACAAAGGATCATAGTTTCCCAGTACTTCCTCTTTAGCAAAGGAAGATGAAATTTTGCATGGATACTTTGGAAATCAGGTAATGACAGTTCTTGCAGGAAAAACTAGAGGTGTGTCTTAACAACATGCTTGAAGCATAGCGGTTCTAGCTGTGATGGGATGTGACACTGGTGTTGGGGATTTATGTTTTCGATAGTCACTTCAGGTCGCTTAGAGCCTTTCAGAATGGTGTGTCACCAGCATCGTGTTTCCAGCTGGATCAGTCAGCTTTAGTTTTCTTGTCAAATACTGGAGGGTGGTCTAGAACTCTGATCTCAGTTTGATGTGAAACCTCAGGCAAAAATGGAAACTTGATCATTTTTTCACAGAAACTAAATTTTGCTGAATGAGCCTTTCAAAAAAGCTCTGAACAGAGTAGCCCTTACGAGTGTTAAAATGCTCTGTGCATATTGCATCCTGTTGGCTCTTGTTCTTCTGAGTCAAAAGTAAAAATGTCCTTTTCCCTCAGTTTATCTTTGGAGCCTCAGCAGGACTTGTTGTTCCAGGAGTACGGAGTCTCTTGGCACTGTATGGTGCAGGTGCATAATGCCAGTCTCTTCCATCCAGCAATAGTGGCTTCTGTGCTTTAATAATTGTTTCCTCTTACAAAGATGTCTTTTAATCTTGGGAGAAAGTCTTAAAAGCATCTGCCAAAATTCTGAGCTACTCTTGGTATGATCATCTATACTCAGAATAAAATTACCACTTGAGAAATGTTGTGGTGCTGCTCTGATTTATTCAATATATTTTTCAGATTGCTGTAAGTGGACCAAGCTTTAGATTGCTACTCTGTCCTCTTCTGAAAGCCTAACTGCTCAAAGTGCAGAGACTGTGTGAAGCTGTTGATTGTCAGGTTAAAAAAAAAGAGATGAGACATTTGCTACTTTTACTGGTCTTGTCCTGGCTTTGGAGTTCATATTTTTATCTCCTCTATGGCTAAATGCTAGAATTCACACATTTCCTATGCTTACTGTTTAGTTTGAGACTTATATGCTGGATGTGTGCATAGGTAAGACAGCAAGATTCATGCTGTATAGCAAAAAAAAAAAAAGTGGTAGTATCAACTTTGTAGATTTGATACTGTCAATTTTGTGAGAAGGATGGAATAAAACCTACTGGTACTTAAATTTTAGCAACTTTGAAATTAACTTGCATATATCACATGACAGTTTGCCTTTAAGATGTAATATGACTTCAGACTGTGGGAAGTACCTTTCCTGGTGCTTGATTTCCAGTTCTGCCTTGGAAACCAAGTTGCTTTATGTCTGTTTCTAACTTGATTGTGTTTCAAAGTCTGAGTTGAAATCAAATGACCAGACTTACTCACTGTGGCAAGATTGCTGTTGCTCTGGGGAGCAAGTTTACTGTGTGACCACTTTTAGATAACGTTGGGTTTATGGCATAATAAAGCTTATGGTTTGTTTATGGTTTCAGATACAATCCGATACCTCTCCCTGCATGACAACAAATACATTCGGTATTTCCCGGGGCATACAAAAAGGTAAGATGTGGCTTGGGGACAGTACAGGAGAAATTGAAATAATGATTGTAATGAGCTTGAGTTATGTTATACTCAATTCACTCTGGTTTTCACTTTGTAGAACTGTTCATGGCAATTATGAGCTTGTACACAACTGCTGGGGTAGGACACGCTTCTTTTGTGTGTGTCTGATGCATGTGGCCTTCTGTGTTGCAGAGTGGTTGCTCTTTCAATGTCTCCAGTGGATGATACTTTTATTTCTGGATCCCTGGATAAAACCATTCGACTTTGGGATCTCCGCTCTCCAAATTGCCAGGTAAGATATCAAATTCCTGTGTATAGTGTGTTAGAAGTTTTTCATTTTCAGTTAGAAGGATGAAAAATGGATGCATGCTTGTTATAAAACAAAAATACTGCCAGAAATGTATGCTGCTGATTTAGTGTTGACACCTTCCTGGAATGCTGAAGGAGCCTTGATCACAAATCTCTGTGAAATATGTATGTCGCATTGTGTAACACCACTCGCTTTCACCTATGTCTCTGCTGGAGAGGTGCTGGGAAGAGCAAGAAATAACACCCACAGCTGATGAAACAAGAGAAGAGCTGGGTGTCATCAGCTTGTTCATCAGGCTGCTACCCCATGCAGAGAGTGTTCTCTCTTAGCCGGCATCTCTCCTGGGTTGGGAACGGCAGCAGAAGGGGCATTGGGAGGTGCGTTTTATCTGAGTTGTTTATAGTGTGTTTGTGTTTAAAATTGATGCCTTGATGCAATTAAATTTGATGAAATTTAAGATAAATTTAATGATAAATTTAAGAAACTGATTATCTAAAGTAACACAGCAGCCATATGGTCTACCCCCTCCTTCCATCACTTTTGTTGTTCATCAGACCTGTTCGTGAGCAGATTTAACTTTCTAGCAAGGCAAAACCCTATTTGTTTTTATGTATTTATTTTGCTGGAATAGTTTACTGTACTTTTTTTGGTGGAAGCAGGCTTGTGTGGGCTGAGAAAAGTACCAGAGCTGGCAGCAGCAGGGGCAGGAATGAAAGACTAGGAGTAGAATCTACACCGTTTATTGGTGGTGAGCTGTTTTGTCCCTGTATCTGGACATGTAGTGTTGTGCTCTCATATTTTCCCATCTCACTGGGACCATTTTGCTTATGAGGGAGGGCTATTTACTTATTCTAAATGATGTAACCGTACATGCAAAAGGAAGAAAAGGTTACATTTCTTCCAAAATGGTTTTATCAGTCTTAAACCCAAGCTTTTTCTGACAAGAAGTCTTAATTTTGCCTTTCTTTGTGAGTATGCCTTTAATGCCAGTGTGTAAATTTCCCTTGGGACAAATCTCAGTCTCCGAGTTGCCACAGATGAGAAAGGGTTGTAAAATCAGTAGCAGTTCTGTGGTTTATGCTAATGCCTGAAGTTGTAAGAATGGTAAAACTAGGACTTGTAACTGGAAGCTGCATCCGGCAAAGTTTGGGAAACAGGTTGAGGAAGTGTTACTTGTAATTTTCAATTTGCCCATGAGATGGCAGCCCTAGTGCCTAGAAATATTACCGGGAAACCAGAGGTGTCCCACTTGCGAGGGCCCGTAGTATTGGCTAGCTTACTGCCTAGCCTTCAGAGATCACAGGGAAAACTGACCTAGATTGAAACGAAGAGAGAAGTAGTAAAGTCTCTAGACTTCTCTAGAGAAGAATGGTATTTCAGAAATACAGAAACTTCTTCAATGTACTGTTGATTTAAGCAAAGATGTGTTCTTACTTATGTGCATACAGTTACATAAAGACATTGGGCTAACAGGCACAGACCTGCCAGTCAGGATACAGAAAATTATGTATCTTATTGGCTTTTACCAAATTTTATCAAGTCTTTTCTACTATATGAACTAAAGAAAAGTTAACATTAAAAACAAGCACTGATAGTAATCTGTCAGTTTTAGTATGTAAGGTCTGTTGGCTTCCAGGAGGTATGAGTTTTCATTAAACAGGCATGGAAGGTTCAGGAGTAGTCGTCACCGAGGTCTTTTCCGCCTGCATAAAACCCCCCCCAATTGGTAGAGCATTGCTGTCAGTCCTAGCAGCAGTGTTTCTGGCACTGTCTGGTATGGTTATTGATACAGCCACATCATCTTCCCTCCTCTGGGTACTTTTTGAGTGGATGACAGCTCAAATGAGATCTTGATTTGTTCTGATGTAAACTTTGTCACTGCAGCAAACTGGAAGCTCCGTATGGTGACATGAAGTAGTCAGAGTTGCATTTGAGAAGCTAAGTTCTGAACCTTTGTAAAACCTCAATATTTACAATTGAAATTCAGTTGTTCCACCCATAGGCTGCTGTCCTACTCACAGTGGGCTCAAAGGGTGATCGTAGAAATGTGAGCATTGGTTTCGCAAAATAATTTGGAGTTCTTCCATTTTCTAGGGTTTAATGCATCTCCAGGGGAAGCCTGTGTGTTCTTTTGACCCAGAAGGGTTGATTTTTGCGGCTGGAGTCAATTCTGAAATGGTGAAGCTTTACGATCTCCGTTCTTTTGACAAGGTGAGCTACCCTAACTTCACTTCTTACACTTTTAAGCTTGCAAGAAGTAGTCTAAACTCAGTGCTCAGAGACTGGATTTATTTACTCCAGCTTACTATCTGGGGTGCCTACTTTGCACCTAGAGTGTTTTTGGTAAGTACACATCTCACGGGGATACGTGCTGTCACCAAATCCTGAAATCCGCTCTTGAACCAATGTTAAAGTTTACTTCCACTAACTCTTCAACCTGTTCCAAACTCCTCTTTAGGCTTTTTCTTTTTGTTGGGTGTCATGGTTTAACCCCAGCTAGCAACTAAGCACCGCGCAGCTGCTCGCTCACTCCCCCACTGGTGGGATGGGGGAGAGAATCGGAAGGGCAAAAGGGGAAAACTCGTGGGTTGAGATAAGAACAGTTTAATAACTAAAGTAAAATAAAAATAGAACAGTAGTAATAGTAATAATAATAATAAAAACAAGTAATAATAGTACAATAGTAATACAAAGCAAGCGATACATTGTACAATTGCACACCACCTGCCGACTGATGCCCAGCACGTCCTTCAAGCAGTGATCATTCCCCCCCCCCACTGAGCATGAACGTCATGTGGTCTGGAATAGCCCCTTGGCCAGTCTGGGTCAGCTCTCCTGGCTGTGCCCCTTCCCATCTTCTTGTGCACCTGGCAGAGCATGGGAAGCTGAAAAGTCCTTGACCAGTGTGAGTGCCACTTAGCAACTACTTAGCACTACTTAGCAAGAACCAAAACATCAGTGTATCATCGGCATTGTTCTCATCCTAAACACAAAACATAGCCCCATACCTGCTACCAAGAAGAAAATTAACTCTATCTCAGCTGAAACCAGGACATTGGGTTTTAGTGTTTTGGATTTTTTTTCCTTGCTGCTTATTCTGGAAGAACGCTGGCAAAGATGGAGCCAGGATTGTCAGAAAGGATGGAAATTTCAAAGGAAACTGTAATTGGGTAGACAGCTGAACTGGCTAAGCTCTGAGCATAGTTAGTTCCATGGTTTTCAAGAAGTCCGATGAAAATAACAGTGGCTCAAGCCTTTCTCTAACTTCCATTAGCAGCCTCATTTGAAAACTTCATCCTACCTTAAATCTGCAGTTGAATGTGGTAGAGTGGGGGACTATTGGGTATTGAAACACCCTACTGTGGCTCTCTTTTGCTATGGAAACTGTGGATTCATACTTCTTTGAAACTTACACATGCAGTGACATGTTTTTGCCATGATGCTTTTCTTTGGTATCTTAGGACTAAAGATTTCCTTTTGAAAAATCTTAAACTTTTTCCTGAGCTAAGGTTAAAAGCAGACCCTTGTTAGCAGCAATGCATACAGAGTCTACATCATATTTCCCATTTTTTTCTTTGAAGGGGCCATTTGCTACTTTTAAAATGCAGTATGATCGAACATGTGAGTGGACAGGCCTGAAGTTCAGTAATGATGGCAAACTCATCCTTATATCAACTAATGGAGGGTTCATTCGACTGATTGATGCCTTTAAAGGAGCTGTCCTGCATACGTTTGGGGTGAGTACGTTGCCTGTGTTACTTGCTTGAAACTTGGCCTTAGGTTTGGGAGCAGGTGCCCTTTGGTTGCGAGATTACTGTGGACACACTCTCTACTACGTATTCTCCTGTTTTGTGCCATAGGGTTATAACAATAGTAAGGCTGTCACGCTGGAGGCGTCGTTCACACCAGACTCTCAGTTCATCATGATAGGTAAGATAATCCTTTTTGGAAGAATTTCAGTGCTCTGAAAGCAAGTGTGTTGTGTAGGACTAAAGTTGTGTCTGTGTTGGGAAGCAGAATGTATTTAAATAATACAATGCAGCTGTAAGCTTTCTTTGCATTGACAGTTTTCTGTTTTGTTAGTTTACTCAGTGTTTTCTAGACTGAAGTGTAAACGAACCTGCAAGAAGACTTTTATTTTTCTATTGTAATGTGTGGAGTTCTGTCACATAATTTATGTCAATGGTCTTCACCCTGTGGCTAGGATGCACACATGTGCTGCCTCTGAAAGTGTTGCAGGGCTGTATGTTGTGGCCTGCCCTCCATTACCTGATGAACAAGGCACCTGTCTGTGCTCAGGCGATTGGTCTCGTAGCCTGGTGCGTTTGTACACCCCCCGGGGACATTCCTGCACTGGTGACATGCTGGGGCAGCTGCTCATGTGGCTCTTGTTCCACAAACATGGGGATTTACAAGCTGTGCTTAACCCTTGATAGAAGCAATAGGCATCAGCCTGATGGCTCCCAGCATGATTCCTGTGGCCCAGGCCCCCTTCCTCAGCCCCTGCAGGCGGGCCTCTTGAGTGAAGTGGGCGGCAAAAAGCAGTTGCAGGTCTTGTAAAGCCTGGTGCTGCAGGCTGGGACCCTCAAGGTAAGCGCTTCAGTCACTCTGCTACACTCTGCTGCCCAACAGGACCCATGAACGCAAGTCAGACGCATTTGTGTGGTGCTGCCCTGTCCTAGCACTTTCTTTTTGTTCTTATTTATGTGTTTAACTTTGTGGTAATTGGTATCCTGATCCTCATTTTTCCTGAATGAGTGATGGTCTTGGCAAAACTTTTTTTTGTTCTGGCTGAGAACTTCCTGGTTGCAGAGAAGGTGGGAGGGGGAGGTTCTTTGTTTAGTCTGCCTCTGGAGAGCACTTTATTGTGCATATTTACCTTCCTGTTCTGCCCTTCCAAATGAAAACTATAGTGGCAGAAGTTCCAAAACACTTACTTCTGTTCAGTTTTCACACATGGTTAAGTTGTAACTTGTGCTTCTTAATTTTTCCTCCCTGAAAGGCTATACATATAAACACAGAAGCAGAAGACAATTCATTGCATTTTTATTAGGAATCCTATCTAAAATGAGACTAAAGCAGAACTGAATTATAAAAGTGTTAAGTGCCGAGCCTCAGAGTTTGCAAAATGCCATTTTAAAGTGAAAGACCTTCTCCCGTTCTAGCAATGTGGAGAGTTGACATCTTCAGTGAAGCTTCTGATATTTGGCATAGTGCGATGAAATCTGGTTACCGTCAGTGGTAAAGCCTTTGATTTGATTCTGTGCCTACCAAGTGAAATATTTATCTCCTTCTGTGTCTGAACTGAGAACTTGCGTGAACAGTGACTCTTACACCCAGCTTTTGGCCTCTTGCACATTGGTGCAAGTTGGCAAGGGTCTTCCCTTCTTAGTTAGATAGTGTCAGCTCTTCTTTTCTGCTGGGTGACCGTAGTTGTTAACCTCTTTGCCAGAATAATGTTGCACTGTGTTGCGTAGTTGAGTCTCTGCAGTGCAAAGATACAAACCTGCTGTTTGGATACAGGTGTGTAAACTGTAGTTATGTTTTGTAAATGCCCTGGTGATACTTCGGGAATTTTAAAGGTTAAGCTATGGAGACGAGGCATACTCGTTCCTACAGTTCTCTGACAGAAAAGGTTATGTACTTAAATTTTCTCTGCTGGCGTCTCCAATGTATCTTGCATATCTTGTTTTCCACTCCTGCCTGCAGGTTCAGAGGATGGGAAGATTCATGTTTGGAATGGGGAAAGTGGGATGAAGGTGGCTGTGCTGGATGGGAAACACACAGGTCCTATAACCTGTCTGCAGTTCAATCCAAAATTCATGACTTTTGCTAGCGCATGTTCCAATATGGTAAGGAAAGTGTTTTAAGTTCCTCCTAGCTCAATGAGGTGCTGACCCTTTTAGAAACGAATCTGAGAAGGCTCAGTGCCACTGATGGGTGTCGCTTTGGGGAGAGCCAGGCCCCTGTCTTGTTGCACCTTGATTGTGCCTTACCTGGCAGGTGGATATGTGGGGCAGCACACCTGGCAAAGCCAGTATTTGAACACACACATGAAAGCAGAGTGGTGAGTGAATGTGCAAACAGAAGTATGAATTCTTTAGGTCACTGTACGTGGCTGGTATTTTCAGTTTGTGTAAGACTGGCTTGCTCTGGAGAATGTGCAATGCAAACCAAACGAGTATAAGCAAGGATTGTAACCTTAAACTGCTGGGGGGTGTTGCTGCCTCTTCAGTAGTCTGCCTGTGTGCTTATGGAAGGTAGCAGTGATCAGTTCCTGTAGTGTGGTGTAGGAGGGATTTGCGTTCTGCTCTGTAAAAGATGTTCTTTCCTCTTTTGTAGGCCTTCTGGTTGCCAACTATTGATGACTAATTCCTACGCTGCAGCTGCTGTCAGATGACTTCCATACTGCTAACAGCAGCATGTCATTGCAAGCATAGTATTGGAATTGCCTAGGTCTCCTAGACTGTGTTCCTGTTCCTGCGTATGTTTCCATATGTCTTACCTTTATTTGCTGCATTCCTTTGTGAGGACTCTTCCACTCGGCCTCCTAGCATGTTCAGAAGCGGCATGCTACACGTTCTTACGTTCCAGTCTCTGCCCAGCAGGCTTCAGCCGAAGTTGGAACTGACACAGTATTATTTCTAAGAGCAATGAAGTCTGGTTTATTTACAAAATGTTTGTGGCATTTTTTAAGCTGTAATTGTGTGTTTTCCTTCTGTGAGTGCACAAGGCTATTGATGTTCCAAGGTGGAACGTGCAGTTCCTTCCCATAAGTGCATGTTTTTCACATCTGGGATCTCTCTGGTTTCACTGCAGTCCACAGATGCAAAGTTACTGCTGTGCCAAATGTGAACACTGACAGTTTTTAACTTAAACAGCAGATGCTGGATTCTCTTGCAGTGGAACACGTGCCGAAAGAGTGGGTGACTGTAAATGTACATTATACGTCCTGTCATCCTTTTTTTGGCAATTTAGTGTGCAACAAACCGTACAGGTTTTGTCCACTGCCAGAGCTTGCCGAAGCCTCCCTGCTGTTTGCTGTGCCAGCATCCTAGAGGGCGCAGACAGTACTGATGAGGTCCGGGCAGTGTCCCAAGCAATAAAGGAGTCTGTCAGCAGGGAGTCTGCCTGTGTATCTTCCTTATGTATCATCTTGGCTGATCTTACTTGTAAATATCGTGGGGGGAGGGAAGTGGGAATGGGCCATATTTTTTTACTTTTAGATATTAAAGAATATGACGTGGGCCAGTATTGTGGGGTGTCTAGGCTGTTTACCTTCACCAATGCAGTTTTCCCCCTCCTGATTTGTAAATAAGCTCCATTAAATCCTCCCCACACCAGGCTTAGACCTGTATCCCTTTGTTGATAAAACAGACGTGCAGTTAGTTCATCATGCATTTTGTTACAGGCCCTGCAGGTTTTCAGCGATAGCCCCGAAAGAGCAACGCTTCCTTTGTCAGATGGTGTCTTCAGAATTGAATTTTAAAAATCTCACGTGTGACTGTGCTGGCTCTGCTTTGCTGTGGCCCTGCGCCAAGGGACACCCCTGCAAAGAGATGGGAGGGACATGCTCTCCTGCTCCAGAGGGGCTTGTGGGCAAACGGCACAGAAAGGCTGGCCAGCTGGTCTGCAAGCCTCGTTCCAGTTTCTTTTTCCTGAAATGCTGCATTGATCAAATGCATCCACCAGCAGGTCAGGACAGGCTTGGCATAAATGTGTTCATTGTATTCTTGCCTTTCCAAACGCACTAGGCTTTATGTGCTGGGTCATGGCTTGGAAAGTCCATTCTTTCCCTCACCCAGTCACGTGTGCTTCCCCGCTCCTAAATGTAAACTTCTGGTAAGGTGACAAGCACAGTTACAGGCATGTTCTCTCTGCTCTCAAGTGCCAGTCCATACTGGAGAACAATGCTCCAGCATTTTACCTTAGGTCAGTTGTCTGGATGTTCCCCTGTTACAGCAAAGTTCGTCTCAGCTGTGGGGCCCTGTATATAATTCAGAGCATGTCTCCCTGGAAAAGTAAATCAGCTTGTAGAGCAGCTTCTTCCGTTTTGCTTTCCCTTGCCTTTTTCTTTTCTTACAGCCCTTGTCAGTGGAAATGTGCTGTGCTAAGAGCTGGGGATGGGGAATGAGCATTTCTCGACTGCTGGTTCCTTTAAAGTAGCAGCGCATGCTGAGCTGCAGTGTTTGCCTGTGGGAGTCGGCAGGAGGACTGCCGTGCATGAGGCAGTCGGATAAACGTGATGTTTGGATCGATGCTGTGGACGAAGCTTCCCTTAGGCTCCGCGGCTTGCCTCTGCTGATGCCACCGCACTAGTTGAGAGCCATTTCTAACAGCATGGGGCTGTGATGCGAGTTTGCCATCCTCCAGACTGGACGAGGGAAGGGAACAGCAGACTGATGCTTTTGATCTTGCCCAACAGATGTGCTGTTGGAGATGCAGATGAGAGATTCATACTACTACACCAGCATTCCTCTTCCCTGCGTGTACTGTCCCGCTGTCACCTATAAATGCCCAGCGCGAAGGGAGACAGTTATCTCTGTCCTCACAGTTGACGAGGTTTTCACAGCCACCTCTTCAACTCAGTATTGTTGCGTTTCAGGCTGCTTGGTGCTATTTTACCATTGTTGGTGTTTCTGTAAGCAGCTCTATTTTGCAGTGGTTTGTAACATACAGGTATCAGGGGTTTGTAGTGCATTTTAACAGTTAAACTTCAGCATTCAGTAGCAAATTGTCTTTCAGGGTTTTACCAACTCTGTTGCCTGAAGAAGTGAACAGATATCCTCCAGCCATTTTTCTTGTTACTTTTCACAGGGAAGCATTTGGAAGTCTTCTACTGTAAAAATACTCTTTGCTAATGTGGTTTGAGCGCTTGTCTGAAGACTGTTGTTCAGCTCTCTTCCACTTGCAGTGTTGTAAAACATTGTGCGTTGCAGCATGAAATGTTTGAGAAAAAGAGGACCAAAGGACTGATCTAGAAGGACACATACACTAAGAACATCAGTGGCTTTCTGGAGCGAAGATTAAATTTACAGGTTTGTGCATAACACAGCACTAATGCTCAGTTCAGAATTAAAGCTGAATGCCTTCCCAAAGCCGATCGCCACCCACACAGGCAGACATCTTTCTTGGTTGATGTAGCACTGACTGTTTTCCATCTGCCTTTAAAAGAGGGAAATGTGTCAAGCGTTGTCACGGAACTTGAGTATCACGTGTGTCTAGAAGATCAGACAGGAAAGGTGAATAAAGCTTTTAGCTTCCATGTGCTTCTCTAAAAGTATCAGTACTGCCATTCCTGTGCTGTTCAGGGCAGCCAGCTAATCAGAAACGGACCTCATTAAAAACAGTGCTCTCAGCTCTAACAGAGTGTCCAACCTTACGTAAAGCCAAGCAGGGAAGAGCATTCCCCTGCCAAATTTGACATTTAAAAGATGAATTCCCTCCCCCCCCCCCCCCCCTTTTTTTTTGGGGTTAAGTAAAAACCTTTTTTCAAAACAAGGGGGAAGTGAGACTCAACAGCCCACATCTAAATAAGCAGTGGTGGTGGCTGAGCACATCTGCTTGGGCTGTAGGAGATCTCGGGTGTAATTCTCTTCTCCAAGTTAAGTCTTTGAGAGACTTCTATTTTTTTTTATGCTCCCAGGCCCTTGGTTAATGTCCCAGCCCCTACTCTGGGGGATACAGGAGCAATCGAGTGAACAGATTTGGAAGCAGCAGTGTATATTTTCCAATGCCTCTTGACTATATTTGCACTTTAGACTTCACCTTGGTTTTGGGTCAGGGGCTAGGATCCTGGCAAGCCTTTCAGAAACTGGTCTCTTCGGTCGTGAGCTGGTATGGGGAGCTTGACTCCTAGGTGGTATCTGCCAGATGAGTGTAAATACATAAAGTCAAATGATGCTTTGTCACAGAATACTACGTATGTGGAGAATTCAATGTTGTGGCTGTTACCAATAAATATTTTGTAGAGAGATCACAGAGTGCTGTAAATTCTGCATTTGTCCAGTGTGATATGACTTGCTGTTTTCTTGGAAAGGAGTGGGAAAATCATCCATTTTTTTTAAGAAGCCCCTTCGGTTTGGAAAGTCAGAAGCTCTGTAGTGGAAACTGATGCTCTGAAGGTATCCCTACATAAATTGCCCATTTTAAAGGGCTTTTCTTGCCTAGGAATATATCAGGATAAGGAAGTGGACTTGCAACAGCTACTTGTTGAGGTAGGGTAGAGGGGTGTTCACAGAAGCCTGTGGTCTGGATGGGAGAGCTGAGCCCTTTCTCAGCAGGAGCAGGAAGGTGGGGAAATAGCTTCTTGCTTTGGAGTGACAGGAGACTTGGATCACTACAGTCAATGTATATATAGTGTTACAGCTGCTGTAGGGGGGAATGGCAACTAGCATCAGGTTAACGTGGGTAAAACCCCATGTGCATCATTTTCAGGTTAAACTCAAGAGGATGGGGGGAAAAGCAAAGTTGGAGAGAAACATTTTTTGTTCTATCCCTTGCTTAAACCATGAGCAGATAGCTGAGAGGGCTGCCTCATTCCTGCGTCCAGGCCTCCCACTGCAGGAAATCATCTTTTGACACCTAACCCTTGGGGTATACTGCTTAGGGAATACTTCTAGTGACAAACTGTTTTTTGGTGAAGACAAATCTGAAGCAAAAACCCCTGCATTTTTCTAAGGCTGTCTTTCTCCATCTCGGGTCTGTGTAAAACCTCTGACAGGAATAAAACTGCAGTAAGATACATGGGGGGAAAAAAAAAAAGTATTTTTATTTGGACTTTAATCGTCGTGGAACTTCAAACATGCACTGAGGTTTGTCTGCTTCACTGGGGAATCTTGCAACTCGTGTAAGGAGTAATGAAAACAAAAGTGGGGACTCGGGGAGATGGGAAGCTTGTCCAGACCTGAATTTGCCTGGATAATGAACTGGTTGAGAAGCAGATCCTCGGAGCTTAGGGCACAACTCCATTTGGCACGTCTTCTGCGCTGCTGTTCCTGTTGTAATGAGCGCAAGCGCTCGTGATTCAGCACCGCAGACAAATTTGAACAAACCGGTTTTATTTTACTTTGAGCTCTTCTACTAAGTCAGCTGATGTAAACACTTCAGTTCTCATCAGTGCTACTGCTACAAAACCAGCTTTGCTGTCAGAAATAACCTGAATGAATAGAAGAAGTATTAGCAAGTGTTGTGGACTAAGATTTGTTAGAAATCTGTATGTTGCATTACATGCTAATATACTTAAATGCTCTTAAATAACAGTAAGGCACGTATCTTCACACAGGAGGCTCCTGTGCAGCAATGTGTAGCTTCATCTGCTAACACCGTCTGTTTTGAGGTGGTGCTGCCTACAAATGGCAACTTTCTCAAGCGGTCTGGGCTACTGCTTCAGCGTTTGCGTTAGGCAGGCATGGCCGTGCCTAATGCTGTCTTAGCAGCAGCTCCTGGGTTTTCAGTACATCTCGCGTTACAGCAAATGGATACGAAGGACACTTCAGCTTGTGCATCCAGTTTTACACAGCTTAGTTCAAGTCTGATTAAAATCCAGCTCTTGAGATTGGTTGGATCTCAATTGATCCTCATTCTTCAATATTAAAAAGGGAGAGGGGTCACTGGCAACGTGGATTTGAGTCTCGCTGTACTGCAAAGATCTTAGAAACAGTACCCTTCAGCTTGCGTGGTCCTCTTTGCAATTTGTCCTTGGCCCAACAAAGAGAAAGGAGTAAGGGGAATGATTTGTTGCCCGCTGTTCCTCTCTTGCATGTTCTTAAGGAGTTAATGTTCTTGTTGATCTTCTGCATAAGTGCTGGCTGTGCATTTTCAGGTTCCACTGCAGATGGTTTTGCTGGAAGAGAGTGTACGTGCGCAGCAGAAATCCCTCAGTCTCGGGCTGATGCTGAACAGCACCATAATAGGGGGACGCAGAGATCCTGCATGTCATGCTAACAGTCAGTCCTCATCCCTGTTGTGCAGTGGGATGACAAATACAGAGATGTCATCATAGGATGCCTCGTGGCTGTCATCCAGCAGCCACTGGTGGCCTCTCTTCTTTCCCCTTGCTCTGCATACCAAGCACTTGGCCAGTTCTGAGAATCTGTGGGTGGAGAAAATGCGAGGTTTGGTTTAATGTGGCACTGTCCCTTAAGAACAACATTGAGATATGGTTTTGCGTTGTCAAATAGTAGGCATCAGCTTTATAATTGTTTCTTTAGGATGGGGAAAGACTCGGAGGCAGTTTCCAGAGTCACAGGAAAGAGAGCTTGGTCATGCCAGAGCTGACCGAGAAGCAGAGTGATCTCAGCCTGCTTTTGGTCTGACCAGGTTCTCTGGAAGGGACAACGGTGGCAAGGCTGATATTACCTGTGAGGATCTGTCCTGTTTTCTGCAAGGAAGCTCCTGACCATATGGGCCACCTCTTTGTTGCACAGAACGTCCCAAAGGCCATCAGTTGCCATGATGAGCACATCGTCTTCCTTAATGTCATGCAGAGCAAAGTCAAATACCTTCACCTGGAAAGCACAGGAGTACATCAGTGACAATTCCTGCAATGTACCGGAGGGGTCAGGGAGATGACTCTTCCCCTGAGAGATGACTTAAAGTGGGACCAGGTTGCTTTCAATCTTTTACATCCCCTTGCTGCTACGCTTCTAAATTATTCTGTCCTGGGGATTCTCTGGGCAGCATGCAGAGCGATGGGGGATGGAAAAAGGACACGGCTAAGACCTGCCAGGTCTGTAAAAGGTGGGTGCTATAGAGGAGGAGCAGCCTGTTTAATTCCATCTTGCAATTCCCATGTGCCGCAACTGACCTTGGGAATGCAGGAGAGGAAAGGTTTGACTTCAATGTTGGTGTCGATAACTTTGAGTTGATGATCCCCCAGACCTCGAGACACAGCCAGAGTTCCCAGCAAGCGAGCCTGGCTCCAAACAAAGCAAAACAGTATTGAAACATAAGAATGTGGCACCTTTAAAGGCTAACGTGTGGCTTGTCCTGACTGATCTATGTGTTGTCTTTAGGACCCTTCTCCAAGCATCACCCAGAACAGCCCCTGGAGACTTCAGAGATGGAGGAGTGATCAGAAGCGACGACCTGATGGAGCATGGAGACAGCCTGACCGTGGATGGCTCCTGGTGGCCTGTGGTGTGCTCTGGACTTAGTACATGTACTCTGGGTAATGCTACAGACCTCAGGAAGCCTATGGTGGCATCTGTTCTTGATCTGGGGTGGCAAGGAAGAAAACTGGGGTAGTTTGCAGGGGAAGGAGTCTTTTCTCCTGGCAAAGGAGGTTCTGCACTGACTCCTTGCAAAGGGGGTGGCATGTGGGTTGTAGTGCCGGGGGAGGTGATGGGGCTTTCTGCTCGACCCCAGCAGGCAGACACTGGATGTGTGCAGTCATTGCTTTGCCCTGTCTCCTCTTTC